TGATAATTCTAATCAAACATGTTACTTATCAAAATGTTAAAATTCTTAACATAATTTTGTTAGGCTTATTACCATAGTGATAAGATGTAGGCAAATAAAACATAAAATGATTGCTAAAATATTATACTTATTAGAAGGAGTAAAAGATAAATGTGATAATTTTCCAGAAAGCTGAGTATAAAAGAATGAAAATAATGTCTAGGAATGTAGTTCTCTGGTAGAGTACTTGAATACAAGGCTCTGGACTTAATCCTAGGGTACCATCAAGGAAATAACGACCACCGTCCCCAAAAAAACCCTTACCTCAATCGGTCCTTCACAATCTGGCTCTATAGTTTCCATTCCTGCCAATATTCCACATATAATCTAATTGCTTTGATAATATATGTCTGTACATAGTTCTATACCAGGATTTCTCAACGAACACTTTATAAACCCATAATTCCTTACAGTGGGAGGCTGTGCTGCTCACTGAAGGATGTTTAGCAGCATCGCTAACCTCTACCCATCATAATAATCCACATAATCCCACTGACTCCAGACATTGCCAAATACTTCTTGGTGAAGGAAAATATAAAAGTGTCTGCATACCCTTATAGACACTTCGCCTTCTACATGAAATAATTTCCCTACATCTGCCGAAAATTCCTACTCCTTTTGCAAAATCTATCTTAAGTCAAAATTCCTTCTCCTTCCATCACTCACCTGTTCTTTTTTCTATGTTCTGTTTTCCCCTCTAGATAGTGAGAACCTCCATCTTATTATTCATTAAGGTTTCATTGATTTTAAGTGTTCAACAAAGTGTCCATGTGATAAGCCTCTCTCCTATTGTCAGGAGAAGATTAGATTCACTCAACAATGTCTCACAATGAACATAATCCTTCAGTTGTTTTTTATTTGCCTTTGCTTCTGGGAAACTGAAATTAAATGATTTACTTGGTTTCAGCAACCCTAGGTCTTTGGTATATCTTTTAGTTCTATGATATTATTATTTAGTTTATTTAGGTTTATCTTTGAATCACCCATTTCTTTGTTTCATATTCTTTTTTTGGAACGTGAACAAGTAAAACTTAGAAAGAAATAGAGCTGGGGTTGTGGCTCAAAGGTAGAGGGCTCACATGAGGCACTGGGTTTGATCCTCAGCACCACATAAAAATAAAATAAAGATATTGTGTCCACCTCTAACTAAAAAATAGATATAAAAAATATGAAAATTTTTAAAAAGAAATATATAGAAATAAACAATGAAAATGTTACACCATGAAGACTACATTTCAAGAATAAAAAATGGGAAAAAAATCTAACTAATCAACATTGAACAGTAATTTCCAAAGTTGATTCTATACAACTCACCATGTGTTTAGTTATTTTAGGAGATGTCATAAATTTCCAAAGAAAAAATCTGGCTTAATTTGTGTGTATATATATTATATATCTAGAAAAGTATATAAGCCAGCACTGAATGGGAGGACGGCAAATGAGCTAGAATCCTAAAAATATTAAATAACAACAAAACAATCAAATGTCACAGGCCAAAAAATCTAGAGATCAGAAACAAGGAGAGATATCTTGAATATTCTGTGCCCTACGGCTTACTTCTCATATAAGCAACTTTTGCAACCTGAGTTATCCATATCTTTTCTCCTGTCTTAGAACTGGTCTCCACTGCCATCTTTTTAAAAATAATCTTGGTAATGTTGATTTCTAGGTATTGATCCTAAATTTCTACTGAAAATAATAATTTTAATTCACAGTTTTCTGAAAAATTACGTAAAGTAAGAAGATTATTTTAGTGCCTATGATCAATTTATAAAACAAGGAAATTAACTAATCAGGAAAGCAGCATCACCTATACTGGACTGTAGAAACTTCATAGAATAAATATGCAAATCCAATATCCTCAAGGCTGACACATTTCTATTATTAAACTGCTAACGTGTTTATTTCCCCCACAATAGATGGATTTTTGTCATGAATACGCATTAAGCCCCATAGTTATTAGCTGTGATGACTAGGTGACAGTGAGGACACTACTTGAGAATTTGCATTTGACAGATCATTGACACACAGTCACAGTTCTCTTTTTTCTCTTCATTTAAACAGAAATCGTGCGGCAGGAAATGAACTGGAGCTATTAGAGATTATTCAGGTTTAATAGCACACATCTTTTAGCTGGCGGATAGAACAATACACAATGTGGCAGAGTTAAACAGAGGCATCAATTATATTCTCAGACCTGTTAATATTTCTGACAATATTTAAATAGCACATCCCTTCAGGGCATGGCTTTTTTGCCCTCTCAGTTACACACCTGTCAAGTGTTTAATTTGCCAAAGGGAAATAGTTTGATTTCTAAGGGTGGTCTTAATACTGAAGCAGCAAATTGGAAAAATTAAACATTATTGAATAGAAGTAAGGAGAAGGATCTGAGGGAAAAAAAATTGTAGGCTTAATTCAACGTGGCATATCAGCATCTGTCATTAATGCAACAATATGATCATGTTCTCCAATATGCTGCATATACCTCAGGTTTTTCAATTATTTAACTCCCTTTGCTTCTCTAAAAGACAGGAGAATGGATGACAGAGGGGAAGAACTGAACAGATCAAATTTTCCAGTGATGGTAAAAAAAAAAAAAAAATTGAAACAGTAACTTGCACCTGTTGTGCATACAAAAATTATATATATGAAAATATAATTTACATATAAGGTAATAAGTAAAAACTAGACAATAGTCAGATTTGGGTAGCCACTGATTGAAAAGCATGAAACAAATTTTGTTCCTTAGATATATTTAGTTATTAAATTATAAATATTAATAAATTATCGATTGGTAAATCTGATGAAATTAGAATATTTATATTTTTATTTTAATATACAAAAATTACATAGTTTTAAATTTTTATTTTAATCATAGATAAAATACTGATAAGTAAACAGAATTGAATTAGTAAAAAAAAAATGGAGATTAAAGTGAAAAGTCACAAAAATTGAGGAATTATCAAAATGAAACTCTTGACATTTAGGGATCAAATTCCTATCACTGAAAAGAAGATATAAGATAGGCTGCAAAGCCTAAAAGGGGGAAAGAAGCCCAGGGAGCCAAGAAAACTGAATTCTAGTTCTGGCTTTACCCTTAAAAACAAATCACTTAACCTCTCCAAGCTAGATACTTTCCGTGGTCCCTTTTATTGTTAGCTTTCTTTTCTACATAAAGAGTGACTAAGGACACAAAATCCACAGACATGTAAGACCTGCCTACAGAATTCACAATTTAGTCTTAAATATATTATTAATAAAATAGCAAAATCATAGCATATATTAGTCACAGAACTTGAGCCTCTATTACTATGCTCAATAGATTTCCAAGTAGTTTTCATGTGAACCATGTAGGACTTAAATAGTAATAGAGCCCATATCCTACTTTCATTTGAAAATATTAAATCAAGCTTAGCAAGTAGATCCATTTGTCCCTTTCTTTCATTAGACACAGGAGGGACAAAGATTCTTTGCCATTCATAAGGCTGGCTAGCAGGAAAATAATGATTTATCTCACTAGACTAGTGGTGTACTTGTTGATACTCTATTTATTTCAACTTCCTTCCCATTTTAATCACATTTCCATACAATACAATAAATAAACGACATCTGTTCAACCTCTCTATACTCTGAAAAACCAGATGATTATTCCCATCATAATTACATTTACATTCAAGATGGTGGTTTCTCCATAGCTTACCAATTTGTTCTGAAAGTTAGTATTGAAAATTAGTATCTCCATAACTTACAAAGGGGATAAACACACTACAAATAACAAAAACACCTTTTAAAATTCATGATCATGACTTTTAAAATCATTACATAGAAATTATTACATATGTCTGAAGATTATTCTTGATTTATTTTAGAGGGGCTACAAATATACAAATGTAGATTAAGAAGTTAACACGACATTAAACAAATTCCTTTTCTATTAATTCTGTTTTACCTTTTGCATTTAGCACAATTTTGAGTGTTGTTTTTTTGTTTTCTGATATTTTTATCATACTGGGAATTGAACCCACAGTCCTACCACTGAGCTATACCTCCAGCACTATTTGAGAATTTTTTATTGGAGCTATTCTCTCATTGTATTATGAAACTAGTTTTCAAGATTCTTTTTTAACCTTTTAAGGCAGAATATTTGCTAGCAAGTCATCCATAACCATTAAATTAATTCTAAAAACATGAGAATGAGAACTTGAAGGCATAATTAACTTCAAACCTTGTGAGGATAGGAACTGTTTTAAAAATATTTTTTAAAAAACCTGAGAAATAGTGATTAAATTAAGTAAGTTCAAAGAACATCTGACTTTAGTTTTCACTCTGTCACTATGATACGTTTCAATTTTAGTATAAATGCTCTAACTTTTAATGCTCATAATTGTTACAGGAGAAACACAGTGTTACATTTAGAAGTTCTACCATCTGATGCTGTCATAGAAGCAATTGCTACTTACACTCTTTTAAGAAGTGAGAATTGCAATTCCTCTAACTGATGACAATGTAATTATTCCTTTTACTGTCAAAATAGAGGTGATTTCCCTTCCTTACACACATGATTACACATGCAAATCTAGGCTTATCTGAAATCTTACAAGCATACTCAAATCTGAATCTGAATGAGTAAGATCACATGAACAATGAGCCTTAGTGATGATGGAAACCAAGTCTACAGCCATCTACCCCAAACATACTTTTATCATCCCCTTTTCCTGTAGAAACTCATTCTTCAGCATCCACACAGCTTTCAACACAATGTCATATCATCTACAGTAAACGGCAACAACCACTGTAAAAATAACTAGGAAGAAAAAGCCATGGTGAATTTGAATGTCTTGTTTGGAGGTTTAAATGACTTCATTAACTATTCATTAACACATTCGAAAATCAGCCTTCAGAAAAAAACAATCCTTTCACAAGATCTATGCCATGCTGTGAACACCCCAATGATATCCTACCTGGTCTCTCAGCTGCTGTACAGAAGTCTGAAGGTTCAGAATCTGACTGAAGAGTGGGCTCTGCAGGACTGACTTTAGAAGGCTGAGTTTGTCTTCATTTGCTACATCCCCACGTTCTCGTAGCTTGGCTTGCAAGCGCTCTGCTGCCTGCAGGGCCCGATTTTTATCTATTCCAAAGAGTAGCATTAGTAAATAACAGGACTCAAAACATGCATATCAAGCATATAAGGATCCCATGCTTGTGGAAATTCTCAAATTATGCCTCTTAAGTGCACAAAATTGTCTTTTTTGAGTAAAAAGTTTTACAAAAGTACAAAATTTTAATAAAGTACAAAAGAATAAAAAGTATAAGACTGATCACTTTTTAATACTTTGAATATTTTCCCTCAAAATTAAACAGCAAATTACACAGTATTTTTTATATTTGCATTTGCTTCAAACCAATGGAATTGGTTTGGAAATAAAACAGAAAGGGTGTAACATGTAACTGGAAATGTGCCCCACAGACCTTGAAGAAACCTATAAGAAAGTTTCTTTGAAAGCAAGAAATTGGTCATATTGTGTGCTGAATACAATTAGTCACAGAAACCAATTCAGATGATGGCTATCTAAATTCCAATGTGAGCTGTTTCAAGTCTCTCATAAAAATCATGACTTTTTTTTTTAATAAAAACCAAATGATCTGTGACCTCAAAAATGCCTTCTTTAAAAAGAAATGAAAATGCTTATTTACATATAAAAAATTAGCAACATAACTGGCTCACTAACAAGTGGATATGGATAATGTTAATGATTAATCACAATATCCAAAATATAATAATTTCACATATTAAGAAGCAAAGTATTCTACAATTGAGAATTTACTTAAAACTACATCAGAATAACACAGAGTATTTCAAATAGGTTACTTTTTAATAGTTGAAATATCTTCCTCCCCAAATTAAATGCCATATTTACATATGCTTCAAACTAATCCAATTCAAATAATTATTAAATGGTTTATAAATCAGGCACAAAGTTTTTTAAAAAGTAAATATTTAAGTATGTCCTAACAGTCCTTATATCTTATATACTTACTTCTACCAGGTAGTGAATTTCTACCACAAATAATAGCCAAAAACATATCTTTGTAGTCACACATACACACAATACACATACTCACTTACTTATAAATTAAGCCAAATTTGTTTTTATTTTTAATAGAGATTGTACTCAGATATATGTCCTAACACTTTCAGGATGATAAGAAGTATCTGTATTAAAATATATTTGAAATATCACAGTAACCAATTACTAGAGATACTTTATATATAATGGCAATCATTACTAGAAATACTTTATATAGCTCCAAATCTGGAATTACACAGAAATTGGGCAATTAAAATATGAATTAACAAAGATCATGATTTTACATAAACAAAAAAAATGAAATAAAATAACATTTACTCAAGCAGAAATTTTAAAGCAAATAATGATAAAGATATACCCGAGAATTTTCATCTGGATAATCTCCCATGGTAACTTAGAATGTGAATATATTAATTCTCATGGCAATTGTTACAAGGTGTCCAACTGAGTAGTAATAGCTAACAGAACAAAGATGAGAAAGTAATGATTTACATAATTCTGTACTTCCCCTTTCCTTTCCTTTCCACTTTTGTGTAGGCGAGTTCTCTTTATGGTGTATTACTTCAGTATAAAATGAGTGATAGAGATGTACATCCATGCATTTTTATGATCAGCATAGGACCAGGAACAAAAGTCACAAGATCATAAAAGAAGCTCCTGTTTCTTTTACTGCCATCGACTCTCCTCCTACCCTTAAAACATGAAGCTGTCTAAGCATCAACCATAATCATCAAAGTGCCAGAGTAAAATCTAGATACCTTCAAAAAGTTATAATAGATAAGCTACCTGGAATACATACAGAACTGCTATGTCTGATAATGGCAGATATGTACCACACCTGATACACTTGTAAACAGATGTATAAACTAGTTTCTCTAGAAGGGATTAACACATAAACATGGGAAATCTAGCTATTTCAACCTAAATTATCTCATGAGGAAATTAAATTGCCTTCAATGAAGTTACCAGCTAAAGAGATTGTTACCGTTCTCCTTGTCAAGTAAAAGCAAGAGCTCAACCAGGTATGGCACATGCCTGTTATACCAGCTACTTAGGATGCTGAGGCAGGAGGGGTCACAAGTTTGCCACCACAATGAGCAACTTAACAAGACTCTGTCTCAAAATAATTTTATTTTAAAAAGGGGATGATAGTACAGATCAGTGGTAGAGTGCTGGATTCAATCCCCAGTAAAATACACACACACACACACACACACACACACACACACGAGCTCAGAGGAAATTCAGCCACAAATACAAGAATATTGGTCATCTTTCAACATTAAAATACTAATAAATTTTCTCCTGTAATCCAGAAACAAATATTAACTACAACTGGGTTCATGAATTAGAATTGGGTATACATTAAGCTTTATTAAAACCCATAAATGGTAGAATGTCATATTTAAAAATTATGTACAAATTATGTATGTTTTGAAACACTTCACATGAGACTGATCAAATACAGAAAAGTATTATCCTGGCACAATGTTACCACAGATAGAATCTGCTATATAGAATATATCATACTCAAAGATCCCAAAGGAGGGAGTTTCAACTTTTAAAAATGAAAAAAAAAAAAGAATAAGTCTTACCTATGGTTTCCAACATTTCTTTCAAAGTTCTTCTCTAAAATGATTTCAAACAGCAACTAAAATGGAACTCTGAGGGAAAAAAGGACATAAAATGAAAGGGTTATGTTTTCTCAGAACTGTAATTTTCTTCTAAAACTAAATACTCTAAATAGCACTTGATACCATTGTAATTCCTCTGACCATTAACTCTTGTTGATATAACTTCACATAGTTCTCATTACAGGCAAAAAAAAAAGTCAGCACTCTAGAACTTACTCAAAATTATATGTGCATACCCATGTTAACTGCAATAATAAGTAGAAAAGCTTAAATTCTGTTTTAAATAAGATGGTACAAGTTTCTAAAATATTTCCTGAAGAGCTTCTCACCACAGACCACTGTAATCTTGGATTAATTTACAGATCCTTAACCACAGAATAAGGAGCTTACTTGAATCTGCATATGAAATTCTCTAGGCAAAAATGATAAATGAATTTGTGATCTTACCCTCAAATACTCTCAGCCTTAACTGGGAAGATAATATACATACCAATTAGACATGAACCGTGACACCAAAGCAGTATAGGTAATACCATACTACTTTCATACATTAAATCATGGATTAAAAACTGAATAAAAGAGAGTGCCCTCTTAAATTTTTCAAAGGTTTTTAAACTATCCTTCTAACTATAATGTTCTCCTCTTTCCACTTAAAAATACCTTCTCAATTCCTTCTTTATCTTCACATAGATCTTATCTTTCTCTGGAAACACTTAATTGGACACTTTGAAGTCCTGGGTACAGATATGCACAGCCAACATCCACATCACTAATCATAATCAGCCTCTGCTATACAATTCTGCACAACTGTCTCCAGAGGTACAACCACCCTTTGCTTCACAGAAGAGGTGAGTTAACCAAGTGTCAATCTTCTCAGAGAAGGAATCTATCACCACATATCCTCATTCTTCAACTGGAAGGTGAGACAGGCCATTTTTCTGAGAAAGACCAAGTTGCCCTCTATTACCTCTTCAAGAGGAAAGGATACTTGGCAAAAAGTAGATGTATGTAGATGAGCAGATGCATTGAACATCAATGCCTACAATTTGCTCTGTATAATAACAGAAAATAGTACTTGCTAACTTCCTTATCCCAATATAGAAAACATCAACTCCATTCCAAATAGTCAAACAGCTCAACCAGTGGCACTTATTTTAAAACTGCCCTAGTATCAAGGAGAGGGCACTGGCTCTGACCTAGAATTAAAACTTAAATAACAGTGTAGCTTTTAGCAAGTAGACTAACATCTCAACCTTGGTAGAATATAAACTTATTTATTGAGTATCTTGTGATAAATGAGATAAATAATGTATGCTAATTTCCAGCTTACAAAAAAACTCATAATTATAAAATATACATTCAGGATTAATGTTGAGTCCATATAGGTTAGATATGCAAGACAGTATATATTCATGAGGCACCATACAGAGAACTTAAAGATAAATTTGTGATATTTTTAATTCTCATTTATAAGGAAACTACAATACTCTTTCAAAAAATATCATAATAGCAAGTACCCTCTGAAAAAATCAACTTCTGAAAAATTAAACCTAAAAGTCAGGAGACCCCAAGTCTACACCAACATGTATCTAATTAAATAGATAGAGGAATCATGAAGACAATGAAGAAGCATGAATAAGTTTATCCTTGTTAAGTTGCATATCTTTTCTGACTCTAGATCTATTCACAAATCTTATTAATACATTTTAGAAGGAAAATAATTATGTATATTAATGTTTGGTATGCACAATAAAACTTAGCTCTATCCACTTTACCTTATGAAAAATTAACTCAGAAAGACAGGCACTATTCATGACATGGGGGAAAGGTAGCCTATGAATATAGCCACTGATTTATGAAGAGTCCGCAGAGAAAGTTGAGCAGGAAGTTCCCAATAGAGAAAAACATGGCCATCCAAAGTTCACCAAGAAGTCAGTAATGCAGATGTAGAGCTACTTACACTACCAACCACCCCCCTCAAGAAACTTGTTGTAAGAGTTAAAAAAAAAAAAAAAAAAAAAAAAAAGCCCCTCCTGTTGTAAGTCGCTGACAGTGTCTCCCAGGAGAGAGCTGAACTTACAGTGAATTTCAGTGATAAAACATAGTACAGTTTCATAGCTTCTCTGTACTGGTCTAATGTCCCTAAAATAAAACCATAGCTTTTTTGAAGTTTACAGGGGATTTCACTATTTACAACCATGCCAAAGAGATAAGTTGTTTGTTTGTTTGTTTGTTTTTAAAAAAAGGGGGTTTTCTTATGTCCCTTATCCGTATCCCCAAAATCCAGTAAATTCAGTTCTAATTATATATAAATCATTTGTAATTGAAGAACTTTTAAGATAGATCAAATCTACTTCTTTCAAACTGCAAACTCATTTTCACCCACCTTTTTACCACCTTACCATCTCCCTTCTCTTTTTACCCATTTCAACACTACATGGAAATATAAGGGTGCCTGGGTCATAAAAGCAGGCCATGATAGGGTAAGTTTTATAAGAGACCCAACAATAGGTCAGAAGCAGCCCAGGTTCTTCCTGGGCAATTCATGCTAGCAGTGACAATGCTGAATCAAAGAGGCAGTAGAGACGAGCTGTAGAGATGACCAGGAGATCGACACTACTATGGGGGTAGAAGAAGCAATAATAACAGCAAACAGGGCACCTACAAAATGCTAGGCACTTATTGAAGCATGCTATCCAGTTATATCCTTTAACAGTCATACAATCCATTGACTTTACATAAGTCACAAAAAGACTAAAAAACTTGCCTAAATCACACCACTAGTAAGTAATAAATCTAGGGTTTGAGTACAGGCAGACAGGCTCCAGAGCCCACAATTAATGCCTACAATATGCTGCCCCTCATTAGGAGGAAAAATTTATCTTACCACATTTTTCCTTTTTCCAAGTTCAAAATTGTCATGCAGACCTTGCCCTTTATGAGGTGAAATGAAAGGAAGAAATAAGGACCCAAGTGTAAAGCATATAAATATATTGTCAATTTTTTAAAAATTGCAATATAATATTATATTGCAGTATAATACATTAAATTACTACAACTTGTATAATATAAGGTAAATGCTTATTCAAGAAAAATTATTAGGTACATGTTTGTTTATAAAAGCATAATAGGCCCAAGTTTATAAAATATTTCTGCAAGTTTTATGGATAATAGTAAACTATGACAGGAACAGAGGACACTGAAGGAAACCTATTTTGCACTGCATTCTTTTTCAGCTTTTTATCTTAATATAGAATAGCTCAGATTTAGCAAATAAAAATACATGATGCCTAGTTAAATCTGAGTTTCAGTTAAATGATTTTTTTAGTGAATAACCTATACAGTACTTGGAAGATAGTTATATTAAAAAAACTAATTTTGTTTTTTATTTGAAATACTTTTGTTATTATTGTTGTTGTTGTTGTGTTGATTTTGGGAATTGCACAGGATGCTCTACCACTGGCCTATAACCCCCAACCCTTTTTATTTTTATGTAGAGATAAGGTTTTTCTAAGTTGCCAAGGCTGGCCCCAGAATTTGTGACCCTCCTCCCTCAGCCTCCCAAGTAGCTGGGACTACAGGTGTGTACCACAATGCCCAGCTTTAATTCACCTTTAATTGGGCATTTGTTATTCCATATGGCAAGTCTACTATATATGTATTTGCTTAGAAATTTTAAATTTAAGACAACATTTTAATTTAAGGCCTGAGAGCTTCCTGTCAAAATATAATGACAACATGATCAAATCCTTAATAAATCTAAAGATTCTACCTGTGACCATATGATTACCCAACAACTGGTTGATAACATCAGTTTCAGCAGGGGAGAAAAATCAAACTGAGTATTTGCTTTTATTGATGAAAAGAAACAGAGTAATTGCCTAATCATTTTTAATTTCCAACAAGTTGTACTGGTAACATGGAGGCACAGCTTTTATGTAGAAAAGAATCAGTGTTTGAAACAACACAAATCTGTCCAATGCAGATTTCATGGCAACGAACAAATGAAATATGTTTTGTGCTAAAAATAACTCTATGAAGAGAAACTGCCCCAAATGCATACAATTTTCTAAACAATTCTGACTGAATAAGGAACACAAAATTTAAAAAGCTTGTTGTGATGGTTTGTAGCTTGTCAAAGTTGTTCAGCATCTGTTATTGCCTTAAATTTAGCATTTGTCTCATTTATAGCAGCCTCAGCACTACTGAAGTTAGCAGACAAAAGCAAGATTGTGGCTGTTTACAGGTAGTTTGTTATCAATTCAGTTGGTAATGACAGCAATATTACACTTTGGATAACATAATTTCTACTTTGGATAACATTACTGAACTATTGCTCTGAAAGGGAAGAAATGTCATGGTATCCACCAATATCATGTTGTCATCAGCAGAAAACATCAGCCTTTTCTTAGCATCTGTTCTTTTTAACTTTGCTCTCATTCTTATAGGCTTTGATCAGAAAAAGTATTCCTGAGCACAATTTTTATTTTCAAGTTGTCATTTCTAAATATTTCCAAATGCCTAAAGTAAGAATAAAATTTATTAATTTTGTTCCCCAAAAATCAAAGAAAATTAACTATCAAGGAAACTTCGCTTATCAACATACTTCATATATAGATATTCTTTTTCATTGATATTCTTATCCTCCATGTAGGAAGCCATATACTTGTCCAAAGTAAAAAGTCTGAGGGGTTTATTGGGTTAGAAGAGAACTCAAATTCTGTTATTAACCCATTCAGTATACATACAAGGTGCCCACATGATGGGCATGCTATCAGGTGGCAGAATTAAAGAAATGAGGACTCAGTCTGGGAACCCAATATAAGTGAATGAAAGAAAAAGTAGTAAGATGACTATTAAAATACAGAAACACAAAAAGGGGACCCAAATGCCACACTGAGGAATCAGGGAAAACTTCCTGAAGGCCTAAAGAACAGGCAGGAGTTAAGACAGAAGTTGTGAGAAGTACCTCCCGAGCACTGCAAAATTTGTTATACCTGGATTGGTATGGGTGAGAAAAGGAAAAGGAA